TTTTTGTTTTTGCATTTCAAATAGGGCCAATTTATAGGCTTCTCCTAGGCTTACGTTTTTAAATTACAAAGGGCCAACTGATGTTTTTGTTATTGTATTTTCAATATTATAGGCGATTATTTGTGCATAAACATACCGTTTGTTTGAAAAAAATATATATTTTGTCATCCTTGCTGCAAGCTTACAAGAGCGATAATATCATTAAATGTGAAGGGGGGCCCTAAAATATTTTCTTGGGAAAAAGGGGGTCTCAGACAAAAAAAAGGTTGGGAACCACTGCTCTAGAAGCTATATCTGCTGGATTAATTGCAGTGTTCACATACCGCCATTGTGATGATCGAGACACCTTTAGGATTTCGGAAACTCTGTTGGCGACAAATGTTTTGTACCTAGAGACTTTGTTTTTGATATATTTAAGTACAGAAGTACTGTCAGTCCAGAAGACAGAGTCTTGAAAGTCCATGCACAATTCCAATCTCCACATTGAATCCATTCGACTTGCCAGTGTTGCAGCAGTAAGTTCCATTCGAGGGATAGACACCAGCTTCAAAGGAGCTACTCTAGCTTTCCCCATTACAAAGGCGACGTGCGAAATATACGATACGAAACTACTCCATAACCATCTTCACTTGCGTCGGAAAAGTGGTGTAATTGTGCTGTGCTCACTTCTCCGAAACCCGTTGGTTTGAAACATCTATCGATTTTGGAGTTTTCCAATTCACGCAATCCGTCCAACCACTTGATCCACTCCTGAGCTTTTGAAGCAGGAATAATTTCATCCCAGCCTAGTTTCTTCCTGCACAAATCTTGCAAGATCTTTTTTGCATATAAAATCACAGGAGACAGGATTCCTAAAGGATCATAGACAGAACTCATGGTAGCCAGGATCCCTCTTTTGGTCAGAGGTCTTTGCTGCAACACAATCTTAAACTTGAAGGCACCCTCCCAGCACTCTTTCCACTGGAAGTAAATCTTGGTCCAAATCCAAATCCTTCACATTGTTTGCTCTTAATTCCTCTGGAATTTTTGCCAGAACATCTCGATTGTTACTTATCCATTTTGTCAGTGAAAAACCTCCTTTCGCACAAATAGCAACAAGGTCGTTATACAGAGAAACAGCCTTTTCCTCTGAATTTACTGACAACAGACAGTCATCCACATAAAAACAATGCAAGATTGTGTCAATTACTTCCTTGCTGAAGTCTTTATTGTCTTCAGCACACCTTCTGAGGGCAAAATTTGCACAACTGGGTGATGAAGTAGCTCCAAAGAGATGCACAACCAGGTTTTGAGTAAGGTCACCATCAGGCCACCAAAGAAATCTCAGCATATCTGCATCATCTTTTGGCACCCTCACCTGATGAAACATGGCTTCAATATCTGCTGTGATCACAACTCTTTCCTTCCTGAATCTGGATATCACTCCAATCAATGAACTGGTGAGATCTGGACCCTGTAACAGTTGGGTATTCAAAGACATCCCTCGAAATGTGGCGCCACAATCAAATACAACCCGGAGCTTTCCTTTCCGTGGGTGATGCACACCCCGTGATGGGGTATGTACCATACCTTCCCGTCGCTACGTCCTAAGTCCTCCGTTGGCACTCTCTCTGCGTAACCTTTAGAAATAAGGTCTTTCATGAAAACAGAATATTCAGAATGAAACGAAACATCCTTTTTCAACCTTTTCTTTAGGTTTAGAGCACGCTGTTCAACAATTGTCCTGTTGTTTGGCATACAAACATTTTTCTTCCTCAAGGGTAAGCCAATTGAATAATGACCATCTGCAAGCTTAAAAGAGTCTGTTACCATCTCAATGAACTTGTGATCTTCTCTTGAAAACCCAACTTGTTCGTTTTTGTTACACTCAGGAAAATCAACCTTGAATTGTTGTTGCCAAAGCTCTCCCAAGTTTGAAACTGAAATCCTGTTAACTGTAACATCAGGATACTCAAAGGCAGACTGGTCACCACCATCTCCTCTTAGTGGACCATTTACGGTCCATCCCAACCTGGTCTTAATTGCATATGGTCCATTATTGACACTGCAGATCACTTGAATTGGCTCCATAACCCTTGGGGCGTTGATTCCTATAAGCAATTCAACCTCAGAGTCAATTTCAGGTAGAGTCACATGTTTCAGATGTGGCCATCTCTTTAGATCCTTTTGTCTTGGGATGTTTCCACTATGCACAGGCATGGTATTTTGTGTATAGGCATCAGGCAACTCCCAAAAGTCATCTTTGTTCAAACCAGCCACCTCTAATCCAGAAACAACGTGGGTAGTTGTGACTTTCTCCTGTCCCATAGTACGCAAGAGAATATTAGTCTTTTTACCTGAAAGGCCAGGTCTGTTCATCAGTGCAGGTGTACAAAATACTGCAGTGCTACCTTGATCCAGAAAAGCATAAGTAATCGCAGTCTTATTTCCTTTTTTAGACTTCACTTGTACAGGAACTATGGAAAGTTTACATTCAAATTCACCAGCCCCAATAAATCCACTGGACTCAACAGATTCCGGAACACTGCCCATTACAGTGTCCATTTGTCTCCTGATGGGTTTTGAATCGATCTCCTTTTCTCTTGGGTAGATGTGAAGTATACTTGGGTGCCTAAGATTACACACTTTACATGAAAGGCGATTTCTACAGTCTCTACTGATGTGCACATACAGCCAAAACAAACACCATTCTCTTTTAAGAACGTAATCTTCTCACCATGACTCCTCTTTTCCAATAGAGGGCACATATCCAGAGCATGTCCACGTCTACAAAACAAACAACTCTTGTTGCTGGGTGAAACGATATCTTTTTTGCTGGTTCCAATTTCTGATTTATTTTCCATTGCTGTAACGGTAGTAGCAAAACTGCTTCTTTTAGATTTAAGATAAGACTGAGACTTGCCTTTGTTCAACAATTTACGTCCTGTTAATGCTGGACCATCCTGTATGTCTCCGAAAACTGGATCAGTCATTATTTTTACTTGTCTTTCAACAAAGTTAACAATGTCGCTGAAGGTGGCTCTTTGATTGACAGCTTCCTGCAATTCACAGACTTCAGATCTCCATTTTTCCCTCAATTTGTATGGTAATTTCTTCACTACAGTCAACATATTAGAGGGCGTATCCAACTCGTGAAAATACTGAATATCTTCCATGGAGTTACAACAGCTTCTTAGGAACAGACTGTAATCCTGTAAAGCTCTGACATCTTCACTTTTGATATTTGCCCATAAAAGAGCCTTTTCCATATCGGTAGATGCAATTATATACTGGTCACCAAAATGCTCATGTAGTAAACCTTTGGCCCTTAAATACCCACGGTCGGCAGGCATATGCTGGCAACTTTTTATAATCTCTTTTGGATGACCCCTGGTATACTGTTCAAGAAAGTATAAGCGATCGCTAGGGCTTTCAGTTTTACGCTCCACTCCACTTTCAAAGGATTTCATGAAGGCATGATATTGCAGAGGGTTTCCATCAAACACTTGAATTTCCCTTTTAGGCAAAGATGACAAACACTGTTGTTGAATCAGTAAAGATGTAATTTAATTTTGTTTATCCATAATATGGAGAACTTGATCAGTATTTCCTGGACCGGCATTCAGATAACCACTCGGAATTGTTTTACTTAACTTTGAGATGTTCCGGGAATAAATTGTCTGAGAAACGTTCCCCTTGTTTGCCTTGGCACCTGCATTGCCACCATCCTTAGAAGAAACAGTTTGTTGCGTCTCAGCTGTAGGAGTAAATGAATTTGCATCAGCATTAACGCCGCCTTCACACTGGCAGTTGAAATCAGCTCCGTAATACGCAATACGCCCCCAGCGGACGTCGCGCTACACAGTGAAAAGCGCCGGATAGGAACCGTCCGTAGCTTTTCGCAAGAGTTCAATTTTTTGAACGCATCCGGATGACCGACGGACACGGTTTTCTTCGCACCGCACTCGGTCGGACCCGTTTCGGACCCAGTCGCATGCGGTCTGCGAATCTCCGTAGGAATTGAATGACTTCCGGTCGTTTCGGAGCCGTATCGGAGCTGATTACAACTGCCAGTGTGAAGGCGGCGTAAGTGTCTGTGTTGCCTGTTGTCCTTTATCAAAATAGGAATTCATTCCATCGGACCGACGAGTCACATCACTTTTAACACGATGCACACTAGAACCTTTAAGCACTTTCACTTTTGCTATAGTTGCAGCAATCTCCATTCGCAACTCAAAATCCTCTTTCTGTTTCCTTAAGTTCTGTTCCTTTTATTCAATTGCATGTTTTTCCTTCATTAAATTTTGCCGTACCAACAAAGCTGCAATATCAGCCTCTGCCTTAATGCGGGCCGAAGTTGTTGTTGATGTAGTTGAACGTCCTGTGGCAGAATTGTGTTGACTTGATCCTTTACTTCCAACGCTAGAAATACTGTCACTTGGCTTTATATCATCTTGATTATGCATGGAAATTTGAGACATATTCTGTTTTTTTAATCATTCGAAGGGCATTCAACTATTGCCAACTGTTGATCCTGGTTATCGTCACTTGACACACACACACACTCTCACTCACACTCACACACACACACACACACACTCTCACTCACAGACACACACACTCTCACTCTCACTCACACACACACACACACACACTCTCTCACTCACTCGCACACACACACACACACACACTCACACACACTCACACACACTCTCACTCACACACACACACACACACTCTCACTCACTCACTCACACACACACACTCACTCACACACACACACACACACTCTCACTCACAGACACACACACTCTCACTCACACACACACTCTCACTCACACACACACACACTCACTCACTCTCTCTCTCTCTCTCTCTCTCTCTCTCTCTCTCTCTCTCTCTCTCTCTCTCTCTCTCTCTCTCTCTCTCTCTCTCTCTCTCTCTCTCTCTCTCTCTCTCTCTCTCTCTCTCTCTCTCTCTCTCTCTCTCTCTCTCTCTCTCTCTCTCCTCTGAGTCTGCAGATTGCTCAGTTCAGTGGTGCTGCTGTCTCCACTAAAGGCCTCTTCATGAGCGACGCGGAGCAATGCAGCGGCGCAGGAGTGTATGTACCTGAACCTGTGTGTGTGTGTGTGTGTGTGTGTGTGTGTGTGTGTGTGTGTGTGTGTGTGAGAGAGAGAGAGAGAGAGAGAGTCTGATCACCTGCTCTCTCTGTGTGTGTTCAGGGTTCGGCCGCTGTATCTGCAGGTCCAGGGCCGCTGTCAGGAGGACGTCAACAGTGAGTATGAGCTCAGATTCTCCAAGCGTCTCATTGGTCAGATGGACAGGGCATCCGGGAGTCACACACTCTTCACACACTCTGCTCGCTCTTCACACACTCTTCACACACTCTTCATACTCTCTTCACACACTCTTCACACACTCTGCTCGCTCTTCACACACTCTTCACACACTCTGCTCGCTCTTCACACACTCTTCACACACTCTTCATACTCTCTTCACACACTCTTCACACACTCTGCTCGCTCTTCACACACTCTTCACACACTCTTCACACACTCTTCACACACTCTTCATACTCTCTTCACACACTCTTTACACTCTCTTCATACTCTCTTCACACTCTCTTCACACACTCTTCACACACTCTTAACACACTCTTTACACTCTCTTCATACTCTCTTCACACTCTCTTCATACTCTCTTCACACACTCTTTACACTCTCTTCATACTCTCTTCACACACTCTTCACACACTCTTTACACTCTCTTCATACTCTTCACACACTCTTCACACTCTCTTCACACACTCTTCATACTCTCTTTTCATACTCTCTTCATACTCTCTTCACACTCTCTTCATACTCCACACTCTCTCACACTCTCTTCACACACTCTTCATACTCTCTTCATACTCTCTTCACACTCTCTTCACACACTCTTCATACTCTCTTCACACTCTCTTCATACTCTCTTCACACACTCTTTACACTCTCTTCATACTCTCTTCACACTCTCTTCACACACTCTTCACACTCTCTTCACACTCTCTTCACACACTCTTCATACTCTCTTCATACTCTCTTCACACTCTCTTCACACTCTCTTCACACACTCTTCATACTCTCTTCACACACTCTTCATACTCTCTTCACACTCTCTTCATACTCCACACTCTCTTCAACTCTCTTCACACTCTCTTCATACTCCACACTCTCTCACACTCTCTTCACACACTCTTCATACTCTCTTCACACACTCTTCACACACTCTTCATACTCTCTTCATACTCCTCTTCACACTCTCTTCATACTCTCTTCACACACTCTCACACACTCTTCACACACTCTTCATACTCTCTTCATACTCTCTTCACACACTCTTCACACACTCTTCACACACTCTTCACACACTCTTCACACACTCTTCACACACTCTTCACACTCTCTTCATACTCTCATCACACTCTCTTCACACTCTCTTCACACACTCTTCACACACTCTTTACACTCTCTTCATACTCTCTCACACACTCTTCACACACTCTTCACACACTCTTTACACTCTCTTCATACTCTCTTCACACACTCTTTACACTCTCTCATACTCTTCACACACTCTTTACACTCTCTTCATACTCTCTTCACACACTCTTTACACTCTCTTCAACTCTTCACACACTCTTTACACTCTCTTCATACTCTCTTCACAACACTCTTCACACACTCTTCACACACTCTTCATTCTCTTCACACACTCTTCACACTCTCTTCACACACTCTTCACACACTCTTCACACTCTCTTCACACACTCTTCACACACTCTTCACACACTCTTTACACTCTCTTCATACTCTCTTCACACTCTCTTCACACTCTCTTCACACACTCTGCTCGCTCTTCACACACTCTTCACACACTCTTCACACACTCTTCATACTCTCTTCACACACTCTTCACACACTCTTCACACTCTCTTCACACACTCTTCACACACTCTTCACAACACTCTTCACACACTCTTTACACTCTCTTCATACTCTCTTCACACTCTCTTCATACTCTCTTCACACACTCTTTACACTCTCTTCACACACTCTTCACACACTCTTCACACACTCTTCATACTCTCTTCACACACTCTTCACACTCTCTTCATACTCTCTTCACACACTCTGCTCGCTCTTCACACACTCTTCACACACTCTTCACACACTCTTCAACTCTCTTCACACACTCTTCACACACTCTTCACACACTCTTCATACACTCTTCACACACTCTTCACAACACTCTTCACACACTCTTCACACACTCTTTACACTCTCTTCATACCTCTTCACACTCTCTTCATACTCTCATCACACACTCTTACACTCTCTTCATACTCTCTACACCCTCTTCACACACTCTTCACACACTCTTTACACTCTCTTCATACTCTCTTCACACTCTCATCATACTCTCTTCACACACTCTTACACTCTCTTCAACTCTCTTCACACTCTCTTCACACACTCTTCACACACTCTATACACTCTCATCATACTCTCTTCATACTCTCTTCATACTCTCTCACACACTCTTCACACACTCTTCACACTCTCTTCACACACTCTTCATACTCTCATCAACTCTCTTCACACTCTCTTCAAACTCACACTCTCTTCACACTCTCTTCACACACTCTTCATACTCTCTTCCACACACTCATCACACACTCTTCATACTCTCTTCAAACTCTCTTCACACTCTCTTCAAACTCTTCACACACTCTTCACACTCTTCACACACTCTTCATACTCTCTTCACACACTCTTCACACTCTCTTCATACTCTCTTCACACACTCTTCACACTCTCTTCATACTCTCTTCACACACTCTTCACACACTCTTCACACACTCTTCACACACTCTTCACACACTCTTCACACTCTCTTCATACTCTCTTCACACTCTCTTCACACTCTCTTCACACACTCTTCACACACTCTTTACACTCTCTTCATACTCTCTTCACACACTCTTCACACACTCTTTACACTCTCTTCATACTCTTCACACACTCTTTACACTCTCTTCATACTCTCTTCACACACTCTTCACACACTCTTCACACACTCTTTACACTCTCTTCATACTCTCTTCACACACTCTTCACACACTCTTTACACTCTCTTCATACTCTCCTCACACACTCTTCACACACTCTTTACACTCTCTTCACACACTCTTCACACACTCTTTACACTCTCTTCATACTCTCTCCACACACACTCTTTACACTCTCTTCACACACTCTTCACACACTCTTCACACACTCTTTACACTCTCTTTACACTCTCTTCATACTCTCTTCACACACTCTTCACACACTCTTTACACTCTCTTCACACACTCTTCACACACTCTTTACACTCTCTTCATACTCTCTTCACACACTCTTCACACACTCTTCATACTCTCTTCACACTCTCTTCACACACACTTCACACACTCTTCACACTCTCTTCACACACTCTTCACACACTCTTCACACACTCTTTACACTCTCTTCATACTCTCTTCACACACTCTTCACACACTCTTTACACTCTCTTCATACTCTCTTCACACACTCTTCACACACTCTTTACACTCTCTTCATACTCTCCTCACACACTCTTCACACACTCTTTACACTCTCTTCATACTCTCTTCACACACTCTTTACACTCTCTTCATACTCTCCTCACACACTCTTCACACACTCTTTACACTCTCTTCATACTCTCTTCACACACTCTTTACACTCTCTTCATACTCTCTTCACACACTCTTCATACTCTCTTCACACACTCTTCACACACTCTTCACACTCTCTTCACACAATCTTCACACACTCTTTACACTCTCTTCATACTCTCTTCATACTCTCTTCACACTCTCTTCACACACTCTGCTCGCTCTTCACACACTCTTCACACACTCTTTACACTCTCTTCACACACTCTGCTTGCTCTTCACACACTCTTCACACACTCTTCACACACTCTTCACACACTCTTTACACACTCTGCTCGCTCTTCACACACTCTTCACACACTCTTCACACACTCTTCACACACTCTTTACACTCTCTTTACACTCTCTTCATACTCTCTTCACACACTCTTCACACACTCTTCACACACTCTGCTCGCTCTTCACACACTCTTTACACTCTCTTCACACTCTTCACACACTCTTTACACTCTCTTCACACACTCTTCACACACTCTACACACTCTGCTCGCTCTTCACACACTCTTCACACACTCTTTACACTCTCTTCATATTCTCTTCACACACTCTGCTCGCTCTTCACACACTCTGCTCGCTCTTCACACACTCTTCACACACTCTTCACACACTCTACACTCTCTTCATACTCTCTTCACACACTCTTCACACACTCTTCACACACTCTTTACACTCTCTTCATACTCTCTTCACACACTCTTCACACACTCTTCATACTCTCTTCACACACTCTTCACACACTCTTTACACACTCTGCTCGCTCTTCACACACTCTTCACACACTCTTCACACACTCTTCACACACTCTGCTCGCTCTTCACACACTCTTCACACACTCTTCACACACTCTGCTTGCTCTTCACACACTCTTCACACACTCTTCACACACTCTTCACACACTCTTTACACACTCTGCTCGCTCTTCACACACTCTTCACACACTCTTCACACACTCTTTACACTCTCTTTACACTCTCTTCATACTCTCTTCACACACTCTTCACACACTCTTCATACTCTCTTCACACACTCTTCACACACTCTTTACACTCTCTTCATACTCTCTTCACACACTCTTTACACTCTCTTCATACTCTCTTCACACACTCTTCACACACTCTTTACACTCTCTTCATATTCTCTTCACACACTCTGCTCGCTCTTCACACACTCTGCTCGCTCTTCACACACTCTTCACACACTCTTTACACACTCTGCTCGCTCTTCACACACTCTGCTCGCTCTTCACACACTCTGCTCGCTCTTCACACACTCTTCACACACTCTTCACACACTCTTCACACACTCTTTACACACTCTGCTCGCTCTTCACACACTCTTCACACACTCTTCACACACTCTTTACACACTCTGCTCGCTCTTCACACACTCTTCACACACTCTTTACACTCTCTTCATACTCTCTTCACACACTCTGCTCGCTCTTCACCAGTGTTGTGCTAGTTACTAAGAAATAGTAACTAGTTACAGTTACTAGTTACTTCGTTCAAAAAGTAACTCAATTACTTTGTTGATTACTTACACCAAAAAGTAATGCGTTACTGTTAAAAGTAACTTTTTAGTTACTTTTTTAAAGAAAGTTCTTAAATGTTCCCATTAATGCCCTTTAATGCGTTATGGTCCATACAAACACAAAACTGACTTAAACAGAAAGTAATTTTTAAACACTATTTTATTTAAGTCAGACCAGCACAAACTGAATATATCAAGGATTTCTGAAATAAATAACAAAACAAGCATTTTTAAAGCTAGTGACTTGTTTGCTTTCTCAACATTGTGTTCATGCAGCTGACAGTATACGTTTTTACCACTGTGGTTTTTACTGCATGAATTAATATTTGAGCAATACAATTGTACCTTGATCATTCTTGTTAGTTCATAGTAGGCCTACATTAACTAAGGAGATACAAATACATCTAACAATGAATGATACTTCTACAACATTTATTAACCATATTTAATGCTAAAATTGTAATCTTATTGTAAAGTGTTGCCATTTATATGATTCAAGCTTAAAGAAGATGGCCATATTTAAATATCTGCAAAGGCCAGAGCATTAAAATTACATAAATGTAGACCTATATTACATGTACAGTCTTTCACTTTATTTGCTTAAATTTTAGAACACTTGATTAGACTTGATGTCGGCTGCATGAACATATCAATGTAAGCAATCAATCACGTGACTAGTTTTAAAAATACAACTTCGCCGGCTAATGAATGCATAAAAGTGACCAGCTGGACATAAACTAATGCAAATAGATGGTAACAATCGCGACATAAAACATGTGGGTCAGGTCTGTGTGTGTTTTTGTCACATTGCTTTAATCGCTTGAGGGAAGTTAGCCGTTACTAATGTTATTCCTCTCAGACTCGACGGCAAGCTTCTGTTCTTTCTCTGCTGATGCAGCATCTAGTCAAAAAATTTATTATTTTATAATGATATGGCAATGTGTACTTAAGTGTTCTGTATTCATACCGTTTCGCTGTCTGTGTTTTAAATGCGCATCAAGTGCTCAGCGCTCTCCGTGCAGCTCGTAATCTCCGTGCTCGCGCTGCCTCACCTGTACGTAAACAACTCAGTGTCCAGTGAGTTTGTCATGTGTCCTCAGGTGTCCTCTCGCTCTGTATAATGCTAGCAGTCTCTTCAGTGCTCTCGTACTGTGTAATGACAGCGCACACTTCTCAGCCGCTCCAGCAACTAATTAATTTAAAAAAGTAACGGACAACGCGCCATATGGTAACGGTAACGGAGGTAATTTATTTAAAAAGTAATGCGTTACAGTATTAGTTACTGTCAAAAGTAACTGCGTTACTGCCCAACACTGCTCTTCACACACTCTTCACACACTCTTCACACACTCTTCACACACTCTGCTCGCTCTTCACACACTCTTCACACACTCTTCACACACTCTGCTCGCTCTTCACACACTCTTCACACACTCTTCACACACTCTTCACACACTCTTCACACACTCTTCACACACTCTGCTCGCTCTTCACACACTCTTCACACACTCTTCACACACTCTGCTCGCTCTTCACACACTCTTCATACTCTCTTCACACACTCTGCTCGCTCTTCACACACTCTTCATACTCTCTTCACACACTCTGCTCGCTCTTCACACACTCTTCACACACTCTTCACACACTCTTCACACACTCTTCACACACTCTTCACACACTCTTCACACACTCTTCACACACTCTTCACACACTCTTCACACACTCTTCACACACTCTTCACACACTCTTCACACACTCTTCACACACTCTTCACACACTCTGCTCGCTCTTCACACACTCTTCACACACTCTTTACACACTCTGCTCGCTCTTCACACACTCTTTACACTCTCTTCACACACTCTTCACACACTCTTCACACACTCTTTACACACTCTGCTCGCTCTTCACACACTCTTTACACTCTCTTCATACTCTCTTCACACACTCTGCTCGCTCTTCACACACTCTTCACACACTCTTTACACACTCTGCTTGCTCTTCACACACTCTTTACACTCTCTTCACACACTCTTCACACACTCTTTACACTCTCTTCACACACTCTTCACACACTCTTCACACACTCTTTACACACTCTGCTCGCTCTTCACACACTCTTTACACTCTCTTCATACTCTCTTCACACACTCTGCTCGCTCTTCTCACACTCTTCACACTCTCTTCATACTCTCTTCATACTCTCTTCACACACTCTGCTCGCTCTTCACACACTCTTCACACACTCTTCATACTCTCTTCACACACTCTGCTCGCTCTTTACACTCTCTTCACACACTCTTCACACACTCTTCACACACTCTTTACACACTCTGCTCGCTCTTCACACACTCTTCACACTCTCTTCATACTCTCTTCACACACTCTGCTCGCTCTTCTCACACTCTGCGTGCGTGAGTGTGTGTGTTTGTCTCTCTCTCTCTCAGAGAGAGGTGTTTTCACAATTCAGAGTCACCGATTACAAAGTTTTCAGATTTTCCAAAATGAATTAAATTCATTATTTTCCTCAAAATTCTACAATCAATCAATACCCCATAATGACATTGTGAAAGAAGTTTGTTTGAAATCTGACACACACCTGTGGTGACTCACACTTGTGTGTAGATCTGTGAGACAGGATTGCATCAGGGCCTTCAGGTGTAAATGTGATGTTTGTGGTGATCGTCAGTCACATGACCTGCATTACGGTGTCTAATGCCGGCATCATGTGGATGTTGTGAGTCTGAACAGCAGATGTTGTTTCTTCAGAGGCCGTGTCCAGAATAAAGCAGATCATCTCTGAAGACGTGCTGCGCTCTTCAGGAGGACAGACGCCCGCAGTGATGCCCACTGTGCCTGTGTACCGTCAGCCAATCACAGCAGCCGCTCCACTCACACCTGCCACTCGAGCCGCCGGAGCGCCAGTCATCCCTGCACACAAGCCGGCTCCACCACACTCAGGGGTGAGAGAGAGAGAGAGTGTGTGTGTGTGTATGAGTGAGAGAGTGATAGAGAGTGCGTGTGTGTGGAGGTAAAGAAGGCGGGGCTACTGGTCATGTGGTCTCTGCTGATACACTCCTCCTACAGAAACAGCCGTCAGAACGACTCCAGCCTACAGGCGGCAGGTCGGAGTTCACTGCGCCGCTGACACACACACACACACACACACACACACACACACACACTCACTCACTCACTCACACACTCACTCACACACTCACTCACTCACTCACACACTCACTTACTCACTCACACACTCACTTACTCACTCACTCACACACTCACTCACTCACTCACACACTCACTCACTCACTCACTCACACACTCACTTACTCACTCACTCACACACTCACTCACACACTCAATTCAAAATTGCTTTATTGGCATGACTGTACACAATACAATATTGCCAAAGCTTGGAATACATAAAGACATCAAAATAATAACATATTATAATATGACTTAAATCTAAATGTACAAATTAAATTAATTGTACAAATTAACTGTACCAAATAAAAATAAATACATAAATAATAATAATAATAATTAGAACAGTTTATGAACATTTCAAAAATTCTCTGAACAATTTAGAATTCAGTGTGTGTGTGTGTGTGTGTGTGTGTGTGTGTGTGTGTGTGGGCGCATCACTGATTAGTCGTCGACTCTCTCTTTTTGTGACAAGCATCAATGTATCTGGCTGCTAATATGATACAATCTGTTTTTTCTCCTAATAGGTGTTGAAATTGTGTTTTGTTGTCTAATTGTAGGAAGTTAGGGCAAAGTATTTCAAATTTTGTATAGAAAGTCCCTCTAATGTCCTCATAGTTGGGGCAGCGGGTGAGGAAGTGTTGCTCGGTCTCCACTTCTCCCTGCTCACAGTACGGGCAGACGTGTCTCTCTCTGGGCCGCCAGTTCTGTCACACACACACACACACACACTCTCTCTGGGCCGCCAGTTCTGTCACACACACACACACACACACACTCTCTCTGGGCCGCCAGTTCTGTCACACACACACACACACACACACTAGGCTTGGGCGGTATCCAAATTTTGATACCGTCAAACCTCCTCCCTATTTTACCGCGGTATACGGTATTACCGCGTGATAATTCAAAATTATGACATAAGGCTCAGAAGGCATCACCAAACTGTTGGTTTGAGCAGGGATGAGTCACAATTTTCGAATATTTGATTTTATTATAGAATATGGAATAGGTTGTGGGATTATTGTCTAAAAAAAATCCCCATGTTTTCCGTTCTGATGCGGTGGTGACACGTTCAACCAGAGGGTGGCGATGCCAATAATGCATCTAAAAGCTGTCAATCAACTCTCAGACAACAGGAGAAGATGCACATTGTCTCACACCAGAGCATGCGAGCGGAGTGGTAATATTTCCTCCAGAGCAGAGAGCGCATTTCTGAAGATCCCGCGCCGCGTGCTCAGTCCACTCAGCGTCGCGCGCTCAGAACGCCCGCAGTGACATGCTGGTTAGAAAACATGTGAAGTAGGGCTGCCCGTGCACGACTAAAGTTTTTTTTCTAGTTGACTAGTAGTAGTTGATTTAAGCCATTAGTCTAATCACATATTTATATTGATTAAATTACTTAAATATATATAGGAGAGAATGCTAAACCATAATGAGCGTTTTCGTAATATATTGCCTATTCTGCATCTCAAAGCACGCATAAAGCTTGCCACAAAGAACCGGCAAAAGTAATTATAATGCATGAAACATTTGAAT